GGATTTTTTTTATTTTTTTTTATAGAAATTTTCTAAATATTGGGACAATATAGTTTGATAAAGAGTACATTTAACTAAATTTTTAAGCCAGAATGATTTGACATTTAAATATGATTTCCCTACAACTTTAAAATCTGCTGCATTCTTGCATTCAAAGAAGTAGTGAGGACCTAGCAGGCGACAGAGTCAATGGGCGTCTTTTATTTCAATCAGTGAGGGGCCTGGTCTAAGAATGTGATGCCGTAGCTTTTGTAGAACATAGCAAATGTTCAGAACACACGAAACAAGCAAACAGGATGTTAAATCAAAAATAAGGGAAGAAATGTCAGCAGAGATGCATGCTGTCATCTCAGGTAGAAACAAAACAAAACATTAATTGTTAATTACAATGAATTCTTGCTGTACTGAAATAGCACCAGAATAGATTATGTCATCTGGTCCTTCATTAAAGGGCGTATTTGTGTCTTTCCCATCCATCAGCAGCTATTAGCAGCTAGCTCATATTGAGCATACACCTGGCACCCAGCATAGGAAAAACGTGTAACTTTATGTTATTTTCCTTTGCAGAACAAGAAGTCTAAAGAAACAAAGAAGAAAAATGCACAGGCCAACGTGTTAAACGTCAACAACAATTCACTATCAGAGAAGGACAAGGTCTGGTTTTATTAGACATGATGGCCAACTGACAGCTACATACATTTGAACTAGTTTTATGATTTAGTTTAGTTTATTTTCCTCTGTTATATAAACTATAAATGTTTGGTTTAATTTATTGCTTTGCATGTGAGCAGACGGCAGAGTTTACATGCACAGTGTGTCAGTGCGTGGTTGCATTCAACTACTTATCAGCTAATTATGATGATTTAATACTATCAAGCAGTTTTGTTTAACAATAATTTTTTCTAATTCACTTTGTGCTATAAATGGCTTTTAATGTTTTTATTTCAGCAAATAAGAAATGCCCCAAAATGAGAGTTTAGTTCCAAAGAGTCTTGGTCTTTGGAAGAACCGTCCTTTACCCCGTCACTGACTGCAACACAGTTAACTGCTGAAATCAGACCCATCAACAATCTTCAGTGTAGAAGCTCTTAACTATTTTTAACATCAGCAGAATTTAAATGAAGTGCAAGAATCTTCCGGCTCAGAGAGCTGTACTAAGGCAGGTGCTGTCTGTCTGCACAGGTTTCAGACATAAACAATCTGTTTATGGCAGGAATGAAGGAAATAAATATTCGGATCCCAAATTTCAGATTCTTTAACTGAAACATGAATCAGATTGAATCTATACCTGCAGGTGGAAGCTTTATAAAAACTCCAGATTAGAAATTGGCCACAAATCTGTCAAACTTCTCTACTGGACATTTGTTTTTAGCTTTGGCTCATTCATTCAGGCCTGCAGGATGAATTAGCATCATGTTTCAATACAAAGCAGGACATCAAAAAGGAGGAGATTAAAGCCTCAATTCCCCAAAATCTTTCAGCTGAACTTTTGTCATAAAAAATATTGTGGATTCTTTTTCTCCTGCAGCTTAAAACCTTCATTTTTAAGATATCATTAATCTTCTGAGGAGAAGTTCTGCTGTTCTTTTTAATCCACTCTTCAATCTTTAAACTTAAAATGTTTTCCTGGGCTGGTACAAGAACAGATCAGAAAAAAACTAATGAAGAACGGATTAACTGAAAAGTCGGGCTGCTTGGAAACAAAGCATCGTAAATGTGGACTGGATTGGGATTTTAAAATGATTTGTTTCTTCACTGCAAAAACTGATCTAAAAAAAGAGAAATTACTTAAATAATGAAATTTGCCCTTAATCTGAGCAGATAAATAAGGTGGAATTAGCATGTCTGCCCTTGAAATAAGATGATATAGATTTAATTTTTATTTTGAATGTAAATCATCTTATTCCAATTGCTAATTCCCTTACTTACCTGCTCAAATGAAGAACAATCACTTTATTTCATCTTCGAAAGCAAAATGTTTCTCTATTGGACCTCCTGTAACACTCATCCTTAAACATAACTGAAATCCAACACATTTTTTTGTATTTTGGACCTTAAACAAGTTGAATTGCTTACATTCATATCTGTAGGAGTGACCAAGCAGCGACTGGAAGGACGAGGTTTGATGGTGGCGATCTTTGTGTCCACAGGTGAGCTTTTCTGGGCGTGCGTCATCTCCTCAACTTTATCTGCAAACGGAACCAACATGCGGTCAAACAGCGGCAGGGCTGGACCTTAACGGGTCGAACGCAAGCCAGTCATTCACAGCGCCCCTCTGTCTTTGTGCTCTCACACTAAAACTGCAGATGAAACTAAAACAGTAAATGTTGAGATATATTTTTTCTGGGAAAACAGCGGATATGAGGACTTTGATGACATAATATGTCCAGCCTTGGAAGCCGTGCAAGCTTTTCCCAAACAGCCGGCTCAGAAGCATCATCCAGGCCTCAGGGGCGTCCAATCAGAGATGTAAAACGAGCAATGATGTGTTGTCTGTCAAGTTTGCCGTTATCAGTTTTCATTTTTTAACCTTGCAACACAAGGAAGGGCCTCAACGACAAATTTGGCAGAACTGAACCTGCCACTAGAGGGTGATGATGTCATCAGGTGCGCGTCCTCCTTAGCGGTTCTGCTACTGGAAGGTTTTAGGTATGAAAAAAAAACCTGAATCTTATTTCTAAGGGTTAGGATTTCAGGAAATCAACGTGTCCTCAGCAGGTCTTACAATGAGTCAAACGGGATAAGTGTGTCAGAATTTGGAAAAACTAGATGCCAGATGGGTGGATGAGTTTACTGAGTTGCATGCATCAGCTGTTATGAGCTAAGATAACTGTCAATAACAAATGCGTAGGCGTCAGAAATTATAAATGTAAGTCAATACAAGCGAATGCAATTAAAATTGGCATTGAGTCCTTAAATGATTGCAGGATACCTGAACTCAAATGCTTCATCTGTGACAATAGAAGTTTGCAAAATGGCAGTTACAACTTACCAATCAAATTTTGGAGTATGAAATAAATGTATTAATATAAATCAAATCAAAATCAAACAGGCATTAAACAAGAAGTCTGTTAGTACACTCTATGTGATCTAGGGCAATGCTACTCTGGCCTCCAGCTGTAAAGTTTTTTTTATTTTTATTTGCCTGAATGGATCAAATAAAAGAACAAACTATTCAGCTGATCTCCAGCAGAACAACTCAGATTTGTCTTTTTGTTCTAAAAAGACGACCTTAGAGCACAGAGCTCCACTCCAGTCCACTCCGTCCTTTTCCTGGGTTTTCTGATCTTGTTTCTGGGTATTAACCCCGGGACTGTGACAGCTGCAGCCCTCGTCTTTCAGACATCTGTGGCTGGTAGATCATTAAGCTCTGACTCCTTCTGAATCTCCTCTAAACTCTTTAACAGGCCTTTCAGGACTGCAGTTATACATGTGACTTTTTTTTATTTATATATTTCCTCGCTCCATTCAGCTTTATATTATGGCTTGGATCAGTCTGCAGTTTTCTCAGGACTTAAAACCAATTTTAATGGGTCTGATGGTATAATTGCCAAAATCAACAAATAACCAGCTTAAATATACATTAGTCTGTATGTTATGAATCTATATACTAAATAAATTAAAATATTTTCTTCATTTTATGACCTGATAGGGACTGGATATCATCATACTTTACAACCTTAGAAATAAAATACGGTTCATGTACTTCCTCCAGCAGCAGACCATGCTAACCCTGATCTGTCCTTGAATGGGACACCTCCCTGACTACCTCTGCACAGGATGTAGGAAGCTTCCATGCATTAGGGGGGTGATTACTTAGAGTCACTTGGAAAACAATCCTCTTCTTCTGCACATCTACACACAGAGCAGAGGAAAGGACCATCAATGACAGCAGCACAGACACAAAACGGCAGAAAGATACACATTTCATCCCTCTGTTCCACCGTCTCCCACTCGGACCACATGCAGCACGGTTGCCCTGGAAACCAAACATTTCCTGGGAAAAAAAAAATAAAAAATACCAAAGCACCACAGGAAAAGGAAGACAAACACAACGGTGAGCCAACACATGCACAAACACACACTGGTTCCCTCGTGAGGCGCCCTGCTGCAGGTGGTTCCTGGGATCAGTCTTCCAACTGAGTCACAAGGAGAAAGACGCCATCATCTGGGATTCTCAGCCTTTTCTGTGTGACACCATTACGACGTAAAACCATGCAACATTTGAACAACGGTGATGCTCAGAGCAGCTGTGATCAGGAGCAGCTTGGAAATCATGCAGGTAAGAGGACCCCCTCCCCCCCACATGGTTTCACTCTGAGACAAATGAAATAAATAATTATCCAAAAAGAAAAGAAAAACAACTGTTAGTTCTTCACAGAGATGCGAGGGGACAGAAGATCTGATTGAACATGCCTAGAGGGAACTTACCACCCTTCTTTTTCCTTAGTGTGGCTTAAGACAGAAAGAAAAACAGTTCTTCAGTGCGCTGACACAAACTTAGCCCGCCCCTAAAAGGAACTAATACAATTTCTTATTAAGGTTTGTCTGTATTTCCTCCCAGACTTTGTGTTCACACCTAGAGAACAGGGGAGACTCCTAATCCTGAGCAAATTACCAGATTAAAACACTTTCAGCCTTTCATTCAGTGCAGTCCCAGTTTCTGACCCGATGGTCCCAGTAAACAGCGCAGACCGAACGTCACACAACAACTTTCCTACAGGAAACATGAATCTGAACAGCAGCAAACCACCTGTCTGCTTTCCAGTCATCATCGCTTATCCTTCAGGGTTATAAAGAAGATCACTATGACTCCAAAATTACCAGAGCCTTTTGGAAAATGGCTTCTTTTAAGATCAGCAACTTTTTCAATTGGAAAACGTGTCAACTTTGGTCTCAAAGACACTGAGGAGTAGATGGAGCGAAAGCGAAAACAGCAGCCATATTTAGACTCAGAAACAGACCATAACCCATGGCTGACCTAACCGCAGCCTAAGGTCACTGTGTTTATAGTGGCTGAACCTGAATTATCATCATAACTAGCAGTCATGGAAAAGGAAGTCTAGGATGGGTGCTGCTGGCTGTCATGTTCTCGTTTTGTATGCACAGAGTGTGCAAAATTTAATTTCGTTTAGTACAGCTTTCCAGACAGTTCATGATTTATAAACTATTCTGGGTTTTCTCTGAACCACGGAGCAAGAAATACGGGCTAAAAGGTAAACAAGCTGTGCACACCCACTACTATTTGGAAGAATGTTTGTTGGTAAGCTACTGGTACCATTCTGGTAGGATATCTAACCATCTCTCTGCAGAAGCTGCAGCTGTAAACTGGGTGGTTTCCAGATACAGACCAGAACTAGTCCCAGAAGTTTAATGTTAGCCCAATTTATCCAACCCAAATCCAACTTGAGTGGCTTTTTGAGATCATCGTTCTGCTGTAGCAACATTTCAACCTCTTCAACCGGAGAATGACCCAGGCAGCCTTCCATGAGCTGAAAACCACCAAAGAGATCCTTCCCATTAAGAAACAAGACAGAGAAAGACTGAGCTGCCTGAACACAAAAGCTGCACGTGGGTTTTGAGGCTTCTACCAACTTTCCAGCATGGTGGTGGTAGCATGATGCTACGGGGAGACACGTAGAATGGGGCGGAAACGATGAAGAGATACCTTTCCATCATAGCTACAGCTCAAACCACAACATACCAGAACATCCAGTCTGGTTCTGGTCCAGCATTCCCAGACATTCGGCCTCAACCTAAGGATAAAGGACTAAAATAAAGGACGGCTGAAGGCTGAAAACTCTCAGTCCAGTAGCTCTCGGGAAAATGCTTCATTACATGTTGAGACATTTCAATTTAATCTCACAATCTTTCCTCATATCATTCAACCATGACATGAAGGCACTTTAACCTGACTCCGCCAGATGGATTTGCTCCGCATATCCATCTGGAAACCTTCCGTTGAAGTAACTTTGGGAAGGGGCGAAAATACTAGTTAGCTGATTGGCCTATGTTGGTGATAGACGGGCCAAATAAACCAATTAGATCAATGAAGAATATGACGTACTAACAGAGCGACGACGAAAACACAACCACAAGCCAGGCACAAGCCAATTGATAGATCAAACTCTTGCCGAAACCAGTTGGGAGAAAAGCAAAAACATCTTTTCCTCTGAGAAAAGCCTCCAGAGCAGTGTTTTGCTCTTCTTTCAGTGAAGAAATACTCTGTAATTCCGATAAAATTTGCTCGACAGCCACGCTAACGCTAGTTTCATCGGCTAAAGTTCTTTAGACTGAACTGTCGCGCTTCTCGTTGCGTCACACCTCAACCCGCCTCAAAGCCAACGCTGATTGGACGTTCGTTTGGTGAACGGCTCCAAATTTTCTTTAACGGAAAGTAGCCAGACTGATCTGCGAGTGAAACCTTGAAAGTTCGCGAGATCAGGATGGTCTCACGAGGCTAGAGGCACATTGCACACTTTTACAGGACAAATAGGACCACAAAGAGGCCAGTTGATCATCCCTATATTCCAATTCATGGGATTCCAGTAACATGAAACATGCTTTTGACCCAGAACTCTTTAACTTTTTTTAAAAGCTAGGAAATAACTGCTAACCTCCACATGCTCCATCTCTACTGCTGACGGATGAGTGGCACTTTTCCACCATTACTATTTTATTGTTTTATACAGTTAATGTTGCAAATTCCAAACCCCAGTGCACCTTTCTAATGCGATAAAGCAAACTGAATTCATGTGGAAACATCAGCTGAATCCTCCTCCTGTCCAAAACTTGCTCCCTTCAACCCTCCCTCCCTCATTCCCTTCTCGGCTCCAACGTGTCGTCCTCTGATCTCAGAATCGCTGACTGGCGACTGTGTCAGCAGGAGTCAGGGCGGGGCAGCGTTTTTCTTTTGAAACCTGGGACTCACCACACAAATATAAAAACAAAAACCTAAAGAGCAGCCAAACCAGCACACTGATGACGGACATGTTTCAGAGCAGTAAGAGCCTCCATGCATGATGGAAAAGGAGGGCAGCAGATGAGGAGGGAGGGAAAAGCGCTTTTTATCTTTCATCAAGTCCAAACTAAAGCAAAGCCTCATTCAGCCGCTAGATGCCGGTGGATGATGCAGGCGGGTAGGAAGGTTCTGCAGCATTGACTGCTTACCTTTATCCACTACAGAGAGGTTAACCAACCAATGAGGACGAGAAGGAACGGGAAAAGGAGAGGGGTGCTGTTAGAAACACTTCCTGATGTTACGGACAGTAGAAGGAACAACAATGAAGCTCTTACCGAGTTCCTCCAGCTCTGAGGTCATGGACTTGGAGCGCATGGACAGGGCGGTGGTGGGGGCTCTCTTTGGTGGTGGAGGAGCTGAGGAACACAGTGAGAGAGAGATTGATATATAAAATAATTATTATTATGCTGAATGTTTCTATGAAGTGTTCTGAGGAGAGACGACACAGTGCTGCTTTAATTGGACCTCAGTGCATTTTGACACTGATTATAACTGCATTTCATTAAAGCACATGTAACCCACTGCTTTAAATACACAGTACGTATCTTTACATCAGAGACCACAAAAATCCTATTAGGAGTTTCCCAGGGATCCATCTTAGGGTCCCTGCTATTCAATACCTACATGCTCCCCACAACTCAG